AATGAAGGGTATAATTCGGTTTTCAAAAACTTTTCTAATTCCCGAATAATTTTGAAACCGCACTACCGTCACAATTGGATTCAGGGTCTCCAAGCTAAAAACCGTATATTTTCCGCGTACGGAAAACCCCACATTTCTCTACGGTGACAAGGGGGACCATATAGCGCTCATAAAATTTAGCAGTGAATTTGACCCATTTTGTTAACTTTACAAGCCACATTAGTATGTGCAGAGGCATGACGATTTATGAAGGGACATTTCACAATTATCAACTTTTTAGAAATCGAATTATCTCCCTCCTTCAAGTATAAAATAAGAAGACTTAGCTACCGAATGAGCAAAAGAATGAATATTTTATGTATGTTTTCCATGAAATATAATTGAACTTTTAGGGGCATCGAAAATCAAGGAGAAAACTGCATGCTACTTATGTAGTCATTTTTTGCAGGGTGTCGTTTTTGAATGCAGCCGGAAGGAAGTTCATTCGAGAGCCGGCATCCTGAGGTAACTGAAATATTATAGAATTATGTTGCATGATGGTTAGTTGTACAAACCTACCTAATTAGTATTTTGGAAACTAAAACTCATTTGGGAATTTCAGTTGACATTTCATGAGTTAGCCCACCCACTGTAAATTTAAACAGTCGTATATCAGAAAGAAGGCAAAACTCATTTACTGGGTTGCCGTATTGACAGTACAGGTACTTGCTAAAAGGCAGCAGAAGTTATTGCTAGTTATAAGTAGATGCACTCACTATATTGCAGTCGTCCCCGGAATATAAACCACCGATGAAGAATGACAGGTGCAGTCCATTTGCCTGAACGACTCGATAGGGCAACCAATGGCCAAAAACGTCCAGGTGGTACAATTGGTTGTCTGAGCAGTGATGCTTTTGCTGATATTCATGTTTACAAAAAGCCTCCGACACAAGAATAAACAGCTAATTTGTGAAGTTAGCTCTATTAATTTCACCAAGAACTGCCCGAAAATCACCAGCCCTGATATCAAAACCGCTCCAACTTCGGTATAAACACTTTGTGTTTCCTTCAGCCACGAATCCTTTCTTGGTTTACTTTGCCAGTAAAATCTGATTATGTAGCCCCACCTGGTGGACACAATACTGTTGAAGTTGAGGTTAGGTGTTAGGGGGACTGTTTCTCAATCGCTTAAAGTACAACCGCGCAATTTCAATAGCTTGTCTTTTCTTGACCTCGTCGACTGTGCGTTCCCCGGTCCCACCTGTAACAATCCCTTTTACCACCGAGCCCGTATAACATGTAGCTGTGGGCTGTCTACTACAGGTGCGGCAACATAACCACATCTGGCCGTGGA